TCCTCCTCCTCCTCCTCCTCCTCCTCCTCCTCCTCCTCCGAATGTACTTCCCGCTCGAACTGTTCCTCCTAGTCGAACTTTCCACGACCAGATGAGGAAACAGTCATCGTACTACCATCAAGAACGATAAGGAACGAAGGGGCTTGTCTGGCCACAGCGGGTTTGGGCCACAAACGGGTCCCACTACATAAATCTAAGGAACGGCCCGAAAACCCGAGCCCCTCTTGAGCCCGAAGCGGTCCTTCCCAGACATCTGGCGTCTCGATCTCTTCGAGACACGGGTCCACGACCTCTCGACCACTGCCCCAGGACCGGTTTTGGATCCCGAGTCGTTTTTTGACGCTCTCGGGGCCCCGTAAGGACCCCGAGAGGCCGAAAACCATGAAAATCCGCCCCAATTGTTTCGAGGCGCCAGAAGTCAGGTTATTTCAGCGTCTTGACCGTGTGGGGACGTCGGGGACCATGCAGACCCCTCCAGAGAACTTGGCACTGGCCTCGCTCGAGTACCTCCGCCTCCAGCATGGAGGTGGACGCTCTTGCAACTGAGTCTCTCCAACGACCCCCAAGAGCAGAGGGCACACGACAAAGCCATGACGAGGTCAAATTCTGGTGAGGATAAGTCGAGAATCTCTGAGATCTGGCAGCTCTGGATGATGTATCGGGCGCCACGGCTTTCTCAGAGCGTTCAGGCACGCTCTGAGAACGTTCCAGAACGCTCTGGAACGGATGTATCCTCGTCCTAGCCCCGTCTGAGGACACAAGAGAGCCAGCACCATAACCAGCACCCCTGCCAGCGAAGCCCCTCAAGAAAGGCACCCAAAGGAGGAAGATCCGGCCAAGACTGTTTAGTAAACGCCTCGGACCTTCTAGCAGACGCCAGTTCTCAAGGTCTGGGTGGTCTTTCCTCCCTCGAGAGAAGACTAGTGCAAGCCCCCCGAAGCCCCATCGGCGGCATCCAGGGGCTCCAGAAGAGGGCAGAGACCTCCGACAATCGCGCCTGCGGCCCTCGAGCCTCGGACTCCGAGGAGGCAGGAGGGAGATGATCAGGGATCCCCCAGGACGTTCGCGCCCAGTGTGCACCACTGTGCTCCTCCTCTGGCAACTCACGAGGGCCTCCCATGCCATCTTGATGGCTCTTGTAAACAAGCGCGTTCCACTATTCAACAAAAAACTACTCGCAAATCCTCGATCCGCCGCGGGAGACTTACGATACATTACACAGAGGAAGTGATGTGTATTTCAGACATGTGCTAGTATGCATTTTGCGAGTAAAGGCACGCGCTCGGCGATCTTGCGAATCGACGCCAACCGACGCGCGACTCGACGCTCCTCGACGCTACATCGACGCCAAATCGGCGCCGCCTCATCGATGTCCAGACCATGACGCACACTTGTGCACTCTCCAAGGATGGAAGTGCGAGGACATGCCCAGCTCCCGCGAGTTGCTACCGAATATCCCCCTGTCTGCGAGGCCGCCCTCATTACTGCGACCGATCGCGCGATACGGACTCTGGAAACCCACGTGAACTCGTGGGCGCGCACGTCGGCCCTGGCCATGGCATCCACACCCCTGGTGGTCCTCACCCCCCTCGTCGGACGCCCCCGGCATCTGGGGAACCTCATGACCCTGGCCATGGCATCCACCACCCCCATGGTGCTCCCCCCACTCTCTTGGACGCCCCCGGCATCTGGGGCGGAGGAGGAGGAGGAGGAGGAGGCGGAGGCGGAGGCGGAGGAGGAGGAGGAGGAGGAGGAGGAGGAGGAGGAAGGAGGAGGAGTAGAAGGAGAGAGAGGGAGGAGGAGGAGGCGGAGGCGGAGGCGGAGGCGGAGGCGGAGGCGGAGGACAGTGGTCCTCCGCCCCCCCGTGGACGCCCCCGGCATCCGGGGAGCCTCTTGGCCGCCCCCGAGCTCGCTGCTCCCGAGGTCCCCGAGGAGCTTGTGGCGGCGGCGGCGCTCCCGGCGAGGGGCGCGGCGGGGGGAGGCCCCCGCCTCCCTCCCGGCGTTGTGCGTCGCGCCCTCCGCGGGCTCGGCCTCCGTGCTCGCGTCGCTGGCTCCTCCGACGGGGCGACGCGCGCGCGCAACGAGGAGGAGGAGGACAAGTGCAAACTCAAGACGCATCGACGATGCTGGAATACGCCCTGCCTCCAGGCTCCCTCTGCACAGGCCCATGCGGAAGGAAATGCCCCTTCAGGGACAAACGTGTGAAAATCTGAAAGCGCGCCAACACATAATTCTCTGGACTTCAACGCCGCGAGCTAACCTGACTATTACGTCTTGGCTATAGTAAATCCTGCCAGAACACCGTTCCTGGGACTTCAACACCGCGAATCAACGTAACTGTTGCGCCATGACAACCCTGAATCGCTCCTTAACACCATCTCTGGTACGTTAACCATGCGACTTAGTGAACCTCTTGCAAAGCTTTCAAAACGTAGGTGCGCGGCGCTGAGGCGAGAGCCACATGTAGAAAAAAAACGCACTCGATCCTCTTGCAAAGCTTTCAAACGAATGTGCGCGGCGCTAAGGCGAGAGCCACATTGGGAGTGCCCCGGGCAGTGAAGGGAGGAACTCGGGTGGAAGCGAACGGAGGACGTCGGGGGGGACGAAGGGGTAGGATGGCGAAGGGTGCGGTAGAGAATCCACTGCACGCAGCTGGTCTCCCTGGCGCCCCCTGGCGCCGCGAGGCGCCCATGCACCGAGGAATGGGCCCGATGGCAGGGCCGGAACCGGCTGCACGCACCAGATGTTGCAGCCCCCCCCCCTCTTTCGGCGGTGGACAAAACTCCCTTTAATACACCTCCCCTTAGTGAAAACGGCCTGGGACCGAAACCGACGGACCTGGACCCGCAAAAATGACGGCCGCGACGCCCTCTCGCGAAGCAAAAACGGCCCATTCCTGAATCGACGCGTCAGGGTAGGAGGTCTGTCCACCCCCGACTTTTCCGGCCCGACACGGGACACGTGTGGGCAGCCTGCCGTCGCCGCGCGACGGCGGCGCCCGGCCCGCTGGCGCTCCTCCGGCGGAGGTCTCCGTGCTCGTGCGCGCCCAGGCCGCCGCGCCCGCCTCCGCGGGCGCGCCTGGCCGCGCGCGCGCCGCGCCCGGCGCCGACTCGGCCTCGGAGCTCGCGGCGCTGCCTCCTCGCGAGGGGGGGGGCGAGGGGGGGGCAGCCCGCATCCCCGCAGAGGTGGCAGGGTCTCCTCCTCCTCCTCCTCCTCCTCCTCCTCCTCCTCCTCCTCCTCCTCCTCCTCTCCTCTCTCTTCTTCTTCTTTTTCTTCTTATTATTATTGTTATTATTATTATTATTTTTTTTATTATTAGTATTATTATTATTAATATTATTATTCGTATTATTCTTCTTCTTATTATTATTATTATTATTTGTCTTCTTCTTAGTATTATTATTAGTATTCTTCTTAGTATTAGTATTATGATTTTTCTTCGTCTTCGTCTTCGTCTGCTTATTATTATTCTTATTATTCTTATGATTATTATTATTCTTATCAGTATCATTATTATTATTATTATTATTATTATTATTATTATTATTATTAGTCTTCTTACTATTATTATTAGTAGTAGTATTATGCTTATTCATATTATTAGTATTCCTCTTCCCCTCCTCCTCCTCCCTCCTCCTCCTCCTCCTCCTCCTCCTCCTCCCCCTCCTCTCCTCCTCCTCCTCCGCCTCTCTCTCCTCCTCCCTCCTCTCCTCCTCCTCCTCTCCTCCCTCCTCCTCCTCCTCCTCTCCTCCTCCTCCTCACTCCTCCTCCTCCTCCTCCTCCTCCTCCTCCTCCTCCTCCTCCTCCTCCTCCTCCTCCTCCTCCTCCTCCTCCTCCTCCTCCTCCTCCTCCTCCTCCTCCTCCTCCTCCTCCTCCTCCTCCTCCTCCTCCTCCTCCTCCTCCTCCTCTCCTCCTCCTCCTCCTCCGCCCCTCCTCCTCCTCCTCCTCCTCCCCTCCTCCTCCTCCCTCCCTCCTCCTCCTCCTCCTCCTCCTTCCTCCTCCTCCTCCTCCTCCTCCTCCTCCTCCTCCTCCTCCTCCTCCTCCTCCTCCTCCACCTCATCCTCCTCCTCCTCCTCCTCCTCCTCCTCCTCCTCCTCCTCCTCCTCCTCCTCCTCCTCCTCCTCCTCCTCCTCTTCCCTCTCTGATCGCACAGCCCCGCGCTCACCTGAGCACCCTTGGGCACCCCTCGAGCGCCGACGCCTTTGCAGGTCGCGGCCCCCACAGGATGGCGACAGTGAAACGTCACTCCGTTGGTTCCTCCAGCAGCCCTCGACCGCGTCGACTGCTTCGCAGCTCGCAACTCCCAGGGGTGGCGAGGTCTCATCAAAACCCGCATATGGCGTCACCCCGCCAGCCCCCCCGCTGCCCTCGAAACTGGAAAGTGACGACAGCTTCGCAGCGTCCCACACATGGCAAGGTCGACCCTGAATCTGCGTATGAAGTCACGCCGCTGCCCCCCCCACCAGCGGCCGTTTGAAGTGGCGACAATTCAGTAGTTCGCAGCCTTTCGCGCCGCCCCCCCCGGAACAGGATGGATGATTCGCCTCTCGCTCTGAAATCGCCCAGACCGCGAAGCTCGAAGCGACAAATCTCACACCCTCGTGGTGGCCCCTGCCGTCGCTCGGACGACCATCCCCCGTGTCTCTTTCTGTGTCGTGCGTGATTGTTGTCGGTATCTGACCCAAAATGTTCCTCGATGGTCCTCGCCGAAAACAATGCGCGCGTCCGAACGATGCCGAAGGCCATGGCCTCCCTCGCCATCCCTCCTCGCCCCGCCCCCTCTCCGCGCCGCCCCCCACCCCCCCGGCAACCACGCCCCAATAGGCCAGACCCCTGAAAACGCGAGCGGGGGGCTCAGCACGCGGGAAGACGTCTGCAGGCGGGCGAACTCTGGCGGGGATGTCCGACACCCCCGCGCCAGCTGGGCCCGGCAGGGGTAGGGCGCACAAGTGACCGCCCACCAAAAGCACCATGCTCGGAGGAGGACATGGAGGATGCGGGTGAGGAGGGGGAGTAGGAGGAGGAGGAGGAGGAGGAGGAGGAGAAGGAGGAGGGGGAGGAGGACGAAGCGGAGGAGGAGGAGGAGGAAGAGGAGGAGGAGGGGGAGGAAGAGGAGGAAGAAGAGGAGGAAGATGATGATGATGATGATGATGATGATGATGATGATGATGATGATGATGATGATGGTGATGATGATGGTGATGATGCTGATGATGATGATGATGATGATGATGATGAGGAGGAGGAGGAGGAGGAGGAGGAGTTGGAGTTGGAGGAGGAGGGAGGAGGAGGAGGAGGAGGAGGAGGAGGAGGAGGAGGAGGAGGAAGAGGACGAGTTGAAGGAGGAGGAAGAGGTGGGGGAGGAAGTGGAGGAGGAGGTGGGGGAGGAGGACCAGGATAAGGACCTTTGGGGTCCGAATCACGACGCCAAAAAAAATCAGGGCGACCCCTCGGTGGACATACGGACGCAAGCCCCCGCCGCTGCCTGTCGGGGGCTGCCTGGCGCGCGCCGCCACAGCAGCTGCGCCGTAGCAGGGAGACCCTGCCCTCCTCTCTCACTGCTGTCGGCGCGATGCAGGCGGAAGAAAATGACCTGCTGCTGCTGAATCGCGGGGGCCCGCCTGCTGCTGGTAGGCTACTCTCCGTCGTTAGCAGTTAGCCCCATTGGCAAGTGAACGCTGTACGGCGAAGCCTCTGGCGCTGGCAGGGCGGGTTCCGCAAAAGAGAGGGGGGGGAGGCAGGCTGCTGGCTGGAATCACTGCTCGCGACATGCAGCCCAGCCCCCCCCCCGCCTTCGCTGCGACCGATGGGTCACGGGGGCGAAGGCCCCCGCTCGGGCCCGGCGCATTCGGCTCCGCTGGAATGCCTGGCGGGGGCGAGGGCCGGAGCTACAGCTGCGTCGGCCGCGTTTTCACGCGCGGCGGCCCCCCATGGATGCACTTGCTGGGGTTCGCGCACTGGGGCGCTGCTGCGTGTCAGTGCTGCGCGGCTGCTGGAGGTTGTCGAGACTGCTCTGGTCCACCCTCTTCACCTCGTCGTAGCCCCGGCCGTCGTCGCTCTCCGTCCACTTGGCGCAGTCGCTTCAAGCTCGTCGGTCTGAAGCCCCGTGTAGTCCAGATCCCACGGGCAAGGCCCTTTGCGAAGCCTACCCTGGCTGCCGAGGATGCTCTCGAAGCCGCGGCAGTGCTCGATGGCCTCGATGTTCTCGTCGAGCTTCTGCCTGGGGAGCTCCGCCACGCGGGCGCGTTATCTCCTCGCATTGGTTCGAGCTCTTGTTGGAAGCGGTCCTCGCCAAGTTCATCGCGATGCGCTCCTGCTGTTTGTGGAGGCCGTAGAGCACAACCTGGTCGTGCTGGATGATGTCGTCGCCCTTCTCGCCAGTGCTCTGCGGTGTCTTGTGGCAGGTCTCCAAGCGGCACTGCCTGGTTTCGAAGACCCGGTCGCATGGTCCGCTGACGCGCTCAGCAGGTTTCTGGGTCGCCACCTGCTCCGTCGCCATCGCCGCCTCCTCGACTGGCGAGATGGGCGGAGCCGCCGCGGCCGCTGCCGAAAAGACTGTCGGGCTGCGCTGCTGCGCCACGCCGACTGGGCGGGCTTGTCGGCGGTAGTTCCAACTGGCCCCGCGCGCGGGGCGATGCCGAAATGCTCGGATCGAATCAAAAGGGCTGCGGTGCGAGACGGACCTGGGCGGCGTTGGAGTCTTAGCCCGACGCCTTGCCCCTGGCCCAGCCCGGTTGTTTCCTGAGCTGGGGGGGCACAACATAGTAGGAGGGAGCGGGCGCAGGCCCGTAGTTGCGTCGGTTGTTGCGGGAGAAGGCGAGGGGTCAGGAAGAGGCTTGGGAGTCCTAGTCGGTCCAGCCCCCGGCACTGAATGTCCTGGTTCGGTCCTGGTTCGGCTTCCCCCTTGACTCCTGAGGCTCCGTAGTGGGTGGTCCCTTGGAAGCCCTTTACTATCCTCTATGGTGGGTGGGGTAGGTGAGCACCGACGTCGGTCCGCACTCTTAGCATGTGTGGGTTCCATACGTAGGTAGGTTCACTCGTGCCCGTGCATTTCCTGCTGTCGCAGGCCCCGATTTCCGCAGCTGTCTGCCTAGGTCCTGCACATGAGGCCGATGCGCCCCGCAGTGATGAAGGCGGCGGTGGCCTGGGAATCTAGACCGTAAATGTGAAAGTGGGTTGGCAGATAGAGTGGCCAACCTCATCCACTTGTTGTCGCATGACCTGACTGTATCCCCTCGAACGGGGTTCCCGATAGTAAGTAGCCGTGCGTAGTACTTCCTCCATGGGGCCCCCAAATCGCGAGGCCGTTTCTCACGGTGCCGCATGTCGCTCGTGGCCACTGCTGACCTGCATCGCTAATTGATTGCTCCTCTCTGCTCCGCCGCGGGACCGAAAGGGGCCAATCGCTGGATGGCCTTGCCCCCGTTGGTCCTGAAGCGGCGCTCGCGGGGCCCGCGACTGCTGACGGCCGATGGCTGCTGGGCTTCTCCAGCGGCTGGCTCGCTGTCCGCGGCGCCTGCTGAGCCGGGCCTCGATGGCCCCCTCCAAGCCCGTCTTCGGGCCTCCTGAGCGGCTCTTCTTGGCGCCCAAGAACGCGAGCGCCAGCCCCGGGGCCTGCTTGAACACGTCCACTTTAAAACCTAGGATCCTCTCGCACTGGGCCAGGCCTAGGTTCTGATCGCATGGCGCCGGCCTGAAAGACGACTACGACGTTTTGATCGCGCGCATGACCTTGGCCCCGCGCTGCTCCGTCTCCACCTCTTCCTCCGACGGCTCGCGCGCCTCCCGGATCTTGCCCGGCCGGAAGACTTCCGTCGCGAACGTTGGCACCCATGGCTGGTCTAGCTGCTCCGCGAACGCCGCGAGGGTCTTGGCCACGCGCTGCATCGGCGGTCGTTGTCCTGCACATTAATCTCGGGCGCCTCCGCCACCCCCCCACAAAGGCCGCTGCGACGTGTTCGCGAGGAGGTCCGCATCCGCGGCCCATGCCTTTTGCCTGAATTTTCCTGCCGCGCCCGCGGTCTGTCTCCGCGGGGGACTGGGCCCACTCTTCTGCGAGGGGGGCCAGCGAGAACTCGCCGACGAGGTGGGGGGGATCGCGGATCTCTGCTGAGTTCTGCAGGGCCAGCCGCAGCAGC